CACTCATACATGCACACACGCACCCATGTACGTGCACGACGTATCAGCACACTGACGCATCTCGTGCGAACAAGAGGCGATGCAGCGCCACACCACTGCACACCACGCATGCCATTCATCAAGACACCTCACGCATGACCACGTCACGCAACAGCACACAGGCACGCTACGCACACAACGCACTCAGCCATCCACAGGCGTACCCACCTGCCTGCGCAGGGCGGGGTGCACGGATTGTGAGGGGCTGATGCCAGTCACACACGCACGAGGCCGCACGCACGCACGCAACAGCATGCAACGCACGCACACACACTCAGCCATCCATGCGCGTACCACCCTGCCTGCGGCATAAGGCGGTGGGCCAGGGTCTGTGAAGGGCACTGATCCCAGTCACGCACGGCACACATACGGCACAGCACGCAGCATCGCCACCAGGATGAGCGCGACACAACGCGCGAGAAGTAGGCGGCTGATGCGAGCTACGGGAGAGCGTAGTCGCAGCGAATGCACCGACGCACCACGCACCACGCACGCAGCACGCACTGCACGCAGCACGCACAACATACGCACGCAACCGCACGCAAGCGCACACACACACACAAGGCCATCCACGAGCGTACCCACCCTGCTGCGCAGCGGGTGCAGATCGTGAGGGCACTGATCCCAGTCGGGAGCGACCTTTGACGACAGTGAGAGATGAAGGTGAGAGCTCATCGGTCGTAAGACCGTGTATCTCCGGGTAGAATCGCGGCGTGAACAAGCGCGTGTGGTCGCGCGTGATGCTCATACAGTAGACGAGCCAAATGTGCACTGTGCACGCTGGAGGACTTCGTCTGCTGCGAGGCAGCGGCCATCCAGGCGAGGTCCCACAGACACATTCTCAACTGTGCGGGGAGGAGGCTGAGAGAGAGAAGAGAACGGTGAGAGAGAGAGCGCGGCAAATAGAAGTGTGAGAGAGAGAGAGAGAAGAGAGAGAGAGAGAGAAAGAGAGAGAGAGAGAGAAGCGGTGAGAAGTGAGAGCGCGGGCAAGAAGAAGTGAGAGAGCAGAAGAGAGAGAGAGAGAGATGTAGTCGTTGTCGATCACAGCGAATAAGCGTAGGAGCGAGCGATGATAAGATATTCGACAGATAATCAAAGATAATCGATAGCCTTAATATTTACATTTATCAGTCAAAAAACTTGTGTAATATCATTCATATATATATAATATATATCGTCCATTTCAATGGAAATGGATAGGTGATGCATTGTAACACATGTGCTTTTGACTCTATAAATAACTGCCAGTCAGGAGAATAGCGAAATGCTAAGTGTCTTTACAAACCAAGTGGATATATTCTATACAGGTGGCCCGCTAATCACCCGTATGACTGTCCTTTAGTCTTTAGTTTTATCATATCATTAATCATGTATGCCCACTCGTACGTCTTAAATATTAACTGAAGACAATGGCCTGTAATTTGTATGCTGCTGTCATGCCAATAGAGTGCCTACATATGTGAGGCAGGGTAATTCTCTGCTACCAGCATAGCGACTACATCTCACACACTCTTCATGATTAACGCTCTGAAAACTTTCCTGCAATTGAACATCATTTCCTGGCATCAAACCATCGTGAAACTCCTGTCCGCCAAACTCCGACATATTGGCGAAAACTGGCCCGACACGTCTCACACTGTACGGCTTCCTGCTACAGCGACACTACGCCGGCGCTAGTTTCTTGTTCAGCTGTTGCTGGAACTTTCTAGGCTTCTTTACCCGACATCCAAGTGAGGCTAATGAGAAGGTGCTGGTCATGGAGTCGAGGAACGCTGAGCGAGGCAAGTGACGCGAGCGGTGTGTCCCCGAACATATCGCCCTCTGGGTGCGCTGCAACGAAAATATGGCAGCGGCAGGCTCAGTTCACACGAAACAGCACGACACTTGTTGAGAAGCGGCGTAAAAAATTCCTTCGTTACATTCGATCGATCAGCATACGGTGTTTTACATTCCGCAAATCAAAAACAATCGCAATTCCGCTTAAACGACGTAACAAATTGTACAGAGGCATCAGACAAAAGGGAACTAGTGCGGCAAAACGTGGCACTCGCCGCGCAGGACTCGCATTGTCCTTGAGAATGTCCCAGATGCCATATCTGACTGTCGTTGCTCCTTGACGATCGGTCAGCGCGTCCTGCAGGAGCGGTCAATGAGCAGAGCGAGGTTATGCAATGCGTGGGAGCCTTACGACCCCACAGCACCAGCGCACGACCAGGCTGCTAGACATTTTACTGCAAATTATGCAAACAGCAGAGTTAGTTTAGGACCCGTGGAAGAAAGCCCATGGTGGTGCATCGGGGCTTACTGTAGATGTAACTGTAAAAGTCATAATGAGAATGTTGTAATGATTACGAAGGAAATTTAATGGTCATTGTATATTGGTAAATCAATAATATATAGCGGTATTATTCTATATTATCAGGGTTCAAAGTTAAAGGGCAAGGCAGCGCGGCAAGTTTTGCTGTCTACGAGCCAGGGTTAGTTCGCTGCCTACAAGGGTGCAAGTTCGCTGCCTACAAGGGTAGTTTGGTGGCCTAACAAGGGTTAGTTCATATGCCTACCAAGGGTTAGTTTCGGTGCCTAACAAGGGTCAGTTTTGCTGGCCTACACAGGGTTAGTTTGCGCTGCTACAGGGTAGTTCCAACACTATCTGTGGTGGGTTCGGAACTCTCGTGGGAAAAAAAATTTTGCGTACCGGCCTGAATATAGACAAACCCAAGTCGATAACACGGTGACCTAAGTGAATAAATACACACGTTAATTCCCGTGAGTTTAACACGACATTAGGCATACGCGCACTAAAAATGAAACAAACTACAAACAGTCTTAATCTATTCTTAATAAAGATTTAATAATAATATTAATAATAATAATAATAATAATAATAATAATAATAATAATAATAATAATAATAATAATAGTCATCCCTCTCTACGCATTGATCGCGACAGGCTACGGTTACCTCGCCCGCAAGATGGCGTCAGTAGCAAACCCTGTGGTGGAGATCACCGTGTGCGGTGGAACGTGCACGATCACCACCACCACGTCGCTACGCTCGTCCGTCGTCAGCTTTCGCCTTAATGAGGAGTTCGACGAAGAAACGACCGACGGACGAAAATGCAAGGCAAGGGAATTTAGGACAATTCCCATACGGCCTGTTGATCAATTAATTGGAAATCGGAAGAACGCGGGTTCTCCTGATCAATCCGTTTGATTAAAAGCCTAATTGGGAATTAAATAAACGAGACAGGTATCACTCTGCATGGATGCAATATGTATGTAATTCGAGGTTCGATTCCCATCAATACAAGGACTAATGAGGCATGAGGCAGTGAACATGAATCTCTAAGCGATTCTTATAATTAAGATCGCGTGAAAATGTTACCAGAGCTCTACACAGAACTGTTAAAGTGAACTTCGATAATAACAAAAATATCACAATCGTAAATTCTATCATGCTCTCTATTCGTAATTTTATTTATCTCTTTCCGTCTTCGATGCAGTCCCTTGGACTTGGATCTTTGAGGTTATGTGCGTAATCATAACCTCTTTGCAGACTATAGTTACGCAAGATGGCCCCCGGCTGGTGCAGCGTCAGTGTTGCCTTGACGACAGCAGCAAGGATTCGGTCGCTATACGGGAGATAACGGACACCGGTGATACTATGATCTTGGTACGGCAGTAGCGAATCCATACTTGTTTATGTCGCGATTATTTACGTTCGTAGTATTAATGTCAAATCTGAGCTAGGCAGCTCATTTTTGTAAGAGGATAGTGAGGGTGAGGCTGGGAGAGTACGCACGCACGCACGCACGCACGCACACACACTCAGCCATCCACGCGTACCCACCCTGCCTGCGCAGCGGGTGCAGGATCGTGAGGGCACTGATCCAGTCGGGAGCGACCTTTGACGACAGTGAGAAGATGAGGGTGAGGCTCATCGGGTCGTAGACGTGTATCTCCGGGTAGAATCCGTGCGTGAACAAGCGCGTGTCGCGCGTGATGCTCATCAGGTAGACGAGCATGTGCACGTGCACGCTGGACGACTTCGTCTGCTCGAGGCAGCGGCCGTCAGCGAGGTCCCACAGACACATCTCACTGTGCGGGGAGGAGAGAGAGAGAAAGAACGGCGAAGTGAGAGCGCGGCAGAAGAAGTGAGAGAGAGAGAGAGAGAGATGTAGTCATTGTCGTCACGCGAATAAGCGTCGGAGCGAGCGAGATGGAAGAATTCGACAGATAATCAAGATAATCGATGCCTAATATTTACATTTACAGTCAAAAAACTTGTGTACATACATTCATATATATATATATCGGTCATTCAATGGAAATGGATAGGCGACCATTCTACATGTGGTTTCACTCCTATAACTGCCAGTCAGGGGGAATAGCGAAATGCTGAGTGTCTTTTACAAACAAGTGGATATATTCTATACAGGTGGCCGCTAATACCCGTGTGACCGTCTTTTACATTATGCATTAATCATGTATGCCCACGTACTCTTAAATCGTAACTGAAGACAATGGCCTGTAATTTGTATGCTGCAGTCAATGCCATAGGTGCCTACATATGTGAGGCAGGGTAATATCTCTGCTCCAGCATACGACTACATCTCACACACTCTTCATGATTACGCTCTGAAACTTTCCTGCATTGAACATCTTTCCTGCATCAAACATCGTGAACTCTGTCCCCAAACTCGACATATTGCGAAAATGCCCGACCACCTTCACTGTACGCTCCTGCTACACGACACACGTCGCGCGTATTTCTTGTTCAGCTGTTGCTGGACTTCCTAGCTATTAGTCTTACCCGACATCGGTGGAGCTAATGAGAAGGTGCTGGTCTGGAGCGAGGAACGCCTGAGCGAGGCAAGTGACCGAGCCGGTGTGTCCGAACAGTATCGCCCTCGGAGTGAGCTGCAACCAAAATAGTGAGCCGCAGGCTCAGTTCACGAACAGCACGACACTTGTGAGGAACGCGCGTAATAAATCTCCTTTGTTACATTCGACGATCACATACGAGTGTTTACATTCCGCAAAATCAAAAACAATCCAATTCCGCTTACGACGTAACAAATTTACAGAGGCATCAGACAAAAGGGGAACTAGTCGGCAAAAACGTGGCATCGCGCGCGTACTCGCATGTCCTTGGAAATGTCCCAGATGCATATCTGACTGTCGTTGCTTCCCGTGACGATCACGTCCTGCGCAGCGGTCATGAGAAGCGAGGTTATGCAATGCGTGGGAGCCTTACGACCCCACAGCACCAGCGGCACGACCAGGCTGCTAGACATTTTACCTGCAAATTATACCAACAGCGAGTTAGTTCAGGACCCGTGGAAGAAAGCCCATGGTGGTGCATCGGGGCTACTGGTAGATGTAACTGGTAAAGTCTAATGAGAATAGTTGTAATGATTACGAGGAAACTTTAATGCATTGTATTATTGGTAAATCAAAATTATTATAGCGGTATTATTGCTATATTATCAGGGTTCAAAGTTAAGGGCAGCAGGCGGCAGTTTTGCTGTCTACGAGCCGGGTTAGTTCGCTGCCTACAAGGGTCAGTTCGCTGCCTACAAGGGTCAGTTTGGTGCCTACAAGGGTTAGTTCATTGCCTACAAGGGTTAGTTCGGTGCCTACAAGGGTCAGTTTGCTGCCTACAAGGGTTAGTTCGCTGCCTACAGGGGTTAGTTCGTTAGGGTTAGGGTTAGGGATAGGGTTAGGGATAGGGATAGGGTTAGGGATAGGGTTAGGGTTAGGGTTAGGGAGTAGGCGTAGGCGACTCCCTAGACTCGTTACTCGTTAGTGGAGTAGGCGAGGTACGGTCCGGCATATTAGATAGTACCAGTGTACGTTCCGGTATAGCGGACCGTACCCAAGGTACGTTCCGGCAGTACCCTGGGGGACATAGAGTGATAGACCCTCTCAGCTTCAGTAACTTATCTGTAGGGCCTAGTGCAAGCCTACAGTCCCCGTTATCACTGCCACGGGCCTGTAGCAATTGACGAGGCCTATAGTACTAACTAACAGCAACCCTGTCATTACGGCTTGAGGACCTTGGCTTGGGAAATGCAAACTATGTACTGTAATCTGTATTGTACTTGTACTGTAGTGTAGACTAGTTAGCTCCATTTAATTAGTAATTTACCGACTTGCTGGCTCGGTTTATGACGCTAGAACAACAATAAAACGCGTTCCGCAAAGAAAACAGTCTATGGGGCGGTTCTGATCATATTACCGATATGTCTGTTGCAATTTCAACGAAGTAGGTCAACTTATTAGAGACCTATTGGATACACAACAAACGTGATATGAAATTCACCAAAAAAACCTGCCATCTTTCGGCGAACTTACGTACGTCACCAGAGTGTGTCGGTCGGATGAAACGTCATCGAGGTCAACCAATCGTTAGCTCTACTGGTTGTTCGCGGGAAATTGATTCGACAGCCCCGATGACGTAACGGATGACGTTTTCCGTCCAGATACGCGTCTTTTTCGCGTTCAACTCCCGCGGGCAAATCGGTAGATTCACATGACTCAGCGTTTACTTCTAGTTCTAACTTCGACACCATCGCCTTGCTATCAGAGCTACATTGACATGCAGGTACGTGTTCTGTCTTCTTTATGTTTCAATATGGAGAGGTACGCTACTACGCTATATATATACGCGAGGAAATCGTCAAACACGTTTTAGTTCCATATACGTTCTCAGCCATGTAAACATTACTACTGCGTTTCCGCGTGCAGTTATGTGATCAGCATCTCTCTCTCTCTCTCTCTCTCTCTCTTTCTTTCTCTCGCTCAGAAAATATTAGAATTTTCTAGCATGGTACTCTTGATATACATATATATACCCTCGATTACTGCATGCTGTACCACACACACCGTTTCCAATGCCCTACTATAAAATGACGCGTGATTTGATTAATTGCCCACTGCGTCGGCCCTCGGCCACGACACAGCGCGCATCGCAACATAAAAAATTCAACGCGGACAACGGGGCCCCAGGATCCCCTAACCAGGGAATAGCAAGCATGCACATATAGTGGTAGCTCTAGTACTAAAGCCCGCTTACATTAACTGCCGCTGCCAGCGGCAGTTAATGTAAGCGGGTTCTAGTACTAGAGCTAATATATTAGCTGCTGCTGTGCGCGTGCATGCAGGCTTGCTTGCATGCGGGGAGGGAGGGAGATCTTGCACGATGGACGTCGATATGGTGATCAATGATGGATACACCGATGCCGCCGCTACTGCTGCCACTGCTGCCGTAGAGCCGACTTTCTACTTCCAATGAATCCGTACGTGCGTGTATACATGCATACCAGCGGATGGTTCGATAATGACCTTGCGGCTTCGATCAGCGCGTCTATTATGATTATTTCAGCAGATGCGCAGGTTTGCTGCTGCTGCTCCGTGTATAGTAGTAGTACGGCTGAGAGGGTCTATGTCCCCCGGTGTACTGCCGGAACGTACCCTAGCTGGTACTATATAATATGCCGGACCATACTTCGCCTACTCCATTAACGAGTCTAGGGAGTCGCCTACGTCTACTCCCTAACCCTAACCCTAACCCTAATCCTAACCATATCAAATAGTTACCAGGGTACGTTCCGGCAGTACCCTGGGAGACATGGACCCTATGAGCAGTAGTGCGTATAGTTAGCGCCGACGACAGAGCGGAGGGCGCGTCTGTGTGACCTGTATGTACGGAGGGATACGGCCCAGTGCGCGGAAGATTGTTATTATTATACACTCGCCGTGTATATGCAAGCGAAATAGTGAGAGATAGAGTGAGTGAGTGGGTGAGCGAGAGGGAAAGAGAGAAAGGGAGAGAGAGAGAGAGAGGAAGAGAAAGAGCGAGAGAGAGAGAGAGAGAGAGAGAGAGAGAGAGAGAGAGAGAGAGAGAGAGAGAGAGAGAGAGAGGCGAAAGGGGTTTGTGAGAAGGGAGAAGGGAAAGTGGGAAAGAGGAGGGAACTGTGGAGAAGGAGAGGGGAGAAGCTGTGGAGAAGTGAGAAGGGAAAGAAAGGAGAAGCTTGGTGGAGAAGGAAGGAGGTGGTGGAGAAGGTGGTGGTGAAGGTTGGTGAGAAGGGAGAAGGTGTGTGCCTAGGCACGAAGGGAGGTCCCTGCCCTGCGACTGCGCTTCTGCCTGGCACACCACGCTTTATCCCTTCTCCAGCCACTTCACGCACCACCTCCTCTTTCTCCAGCTCTGCCTTCTCACCAGCTTCTCCCCTCCGCCCTTCTCCACCACGCTCTCCCTTCTCCCCACTCCTCGCGAGCTCTCTCCTCCACAGCCTTCTGCCCCTCCTTCTCCCACCGCGATTACATGCTGATTGGTTATAAGCACAAACCACGTGACAAATATGTCAAATTATGCTCCTCGTTATCCGGGGCACAATTTTTTTGCCGCAGAGAGTTCCGGACCGCACAGCCAATCAGCGCAGCTTCCAATTCTACACTCGACCTTCCATCGACAGCAACAAATGATAAAATTTATACACCCACTAGTAGCTAACCCGTAACCCTAACCCGCTAACAAACTAACTATAATCCAACCAGGTTCGTCTTAATAGACAATATATTACTAAACACTATCTGTGGTGGTCCGGAATCCTCCGTGGAAAAAAGATTTCGGCGTACCGGCCTGAAATATAGACATAACCAAGTCCGATAACAGGGGCCTAAGTGAATGAAAGTACAGGCACGTTTAATTCCCGTGAGTTTAACCAAAGACATTAGGCATACGCGCACTAGAAAATGAAACTAAACTAAACAAACATCTTAAAATCTATTCTTAATAAAGATTTAATAATAATATTAATAATAAATAATAATATAATAATAATAATAATATATAAGTAAATAATAATAATAATAGATCAATCCGGCTCTGCTACGCATTGAATCGCGACAGGCTACCGTGTTACCTCGCCCGCAAGTATGGCGTCAGTAAGCAAACTCTGGCCTGTGGTGGAGATCACCGTGTGCCTGGAACGTGCACGATCCCCACCACACGTCGCTACCGCCGTCGTCGTGCAAGCTTTCGCCTAATGAGGAGTTTCGACGAAGAAACGACGCGACGACGAAAATGCAAGGCAAGGGAATTTAGGACAATTCCCATTACGGCCTGTTGATCAATTAATTGAAATCGGAAGAACGCGGTTGCTCCCTGATCAATGCCTTTGATTATAAAAAGGCCTATTGGATTTATAATTAACGAGACAGGTTATCTACTCTGCATGGATGCAATATGTTGTAATTCGAGTTCGATTCCCCCATCAATATCAAGGACTTAATGAGGCATGAGGCAGTGACACAAATCTCTAAGGCGATCTTATTATTAAGATTCGCGTGAAAATGTTACCAGAGCTCTACAGCAGAACTGTTAAAGTGACACTTCGATAATAACAAAATACGACAATCGTAAATTTCTATGCAATGCTCTCTATTCGTAATTTATTTTATCTCTTTCCGTCTCGATGCAGTCGCTTGGACTTGGATCTTTGAGGTTATGTGCGTATCATAACCTCTTGTGCAGACTTATAGTTGACGTCAAGAATGCGCCCCGGCTGGTGCAGTCGTCAGTGTTGCCTTGACGGACAGCAGCTAAGGATTTCGGTCCGCTAATAGCGGGAGATAACGGACACGTGGTATACTATGATCCTTGGTTACGGCAAGTAGCGAATCGCATACTTGTTTTAATGCGGCGTATTATTAAACGTTGTACGTATTAAATGTCCAAATCTGAGCTAGGCAGCTCATTTTTGTAAGAGGATAGTGAGGGTGAGGCTGGGAGAGCGAGAGAAAGAAAGAGAAATAGAGAGCGAAAAGGATGGAGAACGAGAGAGAGCAAGGAAAGAGAAAGAGAAAGAGAAGGATAGCGAGAGAGAGAGAGAGAAAGAAAGAAAGAGAGAGAGAGAGAGAGAGACAGAGAGAGAAAGTGGGCGAGAATCAAGTAAAATAGTGAGCGCGAGTGAAACTCAGAGCGAAAGAAAGAGGCAGCTTATCTACCTCGAGCGTGTGCGTGCGTGCGTGCGCACGTACATATGCGTGCGTGCGTGTGCACGTACATGTGCGTGCGTGCGTGTGCACGTACACGTGAGTGCGTGCGTGCGTGTGTACGTACACGTGCGTGCCTGCGTGCGTGCGTACGTACACGTGCGTGCATGCGTGCGTGTGCGTGTATTCGCCCGTGCTTACTTTCAGCCTACCGTTATCCTCTCTAGGAACTCCAAGCCCGAGGAACTGTATGCCGACGCGTAATTCCACGAAAATCTCACCCGCCGACGGCGCGGCGACTGACACACGGTGACGGCGACGGCAGCGGAGAAAACAATACAGCAATAAAGCGCAAACCAGCTTGCACAACAACGGCGGCGATCACGTGTTCATCGCGTGTGGATCACGTGGTGGCGTCACGCGCTCATGTCGGCCATCTTTATGGCTTTATTCTAAGCGCAGGAAAGAAGTTGAGACAAGTTGGGTTGAAAGATCTGCTAATAGGCCGCGTCAGACGGACGTTTTTGGCCCGAGCCCCCCCCACTGAAAATTTTAGGCCCGTGCCAGATTTGGCTCGAGCCGAGCGTTCACAGACGGACGCTTTTTTGGCCCGAGCCTAATTAGGCTCCCCGTGCCAGATTTGGTCCATGCGAAAACGTGACCAGGCCGAGCCAAATGTTTAGCTACGACAGCTTCGGCGAGGGGTAAGAGCGGTTAGAAATACGTTGAGCGGTAGATGCCGCGAGTGGTCGAACGTGTACTTCGACAAAATAAAGTCCAAAACAGTATAAAAATTCGAAAAATTTGATCAGGATGCACGTTTCAAGATTGAAACGTAACGTACGTAACGTAAATAATCGAAGCGTAAGTAAACACTCTACAATCGTAAACTACGCCCATCTGCGCGATCACTATGCCAAAGTATCTGAGATATTTGTGCTAATAAAATTTATTTGAATTTGAATTTGGAATTTGACAGACAGTATTCACTTGCGGTACGTTGGTGAAACGCGCCGAACTCAACCCGGCCGCCGAGCCAAATATGCCCGAGCGACAAATCTAGCCCGTTTGGCTCGAGCCAAACGCATAACGGCGTGTGAAACAGCTAACTTATGTGTAGGTTGGGTGCGCCCCTTCTCATGATCACCGAGTAGATTATGTGTGCAATTAACTTATTATCAACTCGCGCAAGTGTGGTCGAATTATTCACATTTACTTTTATAATGGCAATTTTCATTATCATCATATGTATGGAAGAATTACGATATAATGGAATCGTGGCAATTGATATAGCCGCCATCGCGAGTATGAATACACTTCTTAATTTCAATTTATTATGAAAATATTTAAATATATATATGTAGTATATTAACAGCAAACATTTTTTATGTTAATTATGTTTATTAATCAAATTCTTTCATGACGCAAATATATATATATTATCATGATATTCTATGGAAGGAATACGTATATAGGATTGTGGCAATTGACATGCCCATATCGTTCACTGTTCAAGACAGTGCGACAGCATGAGGCACGTAGGTAAATACATTCAATAAAATACGAAAAATATTAAATATATCATGTATACATTAAACACCCAAAACATATTATTAACTTTTATATTATTATTACGATACAGAAATGGCGGTAATGCACGCAGACGCGACTCAACGCACGCACGACGACGCGCTGCGTGTGCTGTTTCTAGGTGGTACATCCGCTAGTACATGCATTGTGTTTGCGTACCGCCGTCTGCGTTATACGTTATAACGCATCGTCAGACACTCTGCACTAGCCTATTCTACCGACGTTAGACTACTTACACGAGCCCCTGGGAAGGCTGCATAGCGTCAGTGAGCGACGGACGGCGGGCACGAGGGAGCGGACACGGTCGTCACTGGCGCCGCCGCGGGGACGGCGGGGATACCCTGAGCACGACCTACGTGCGTGCATGCTAGGCTAGGCAGCCACAAAACTGTCTAGCACAGTGTGCCAACAACAGGCGGAGTCAAATCGTAGGTGATCGCTCCGAGCCCTGGCGTAATATTGGCTTCCAGCTCTGTTTACGCCCGGAAAAAAAAAAAACGGCAGGACACGCAAAAGTGGAACAGACCGACGTGTCCCTTGCTTGGCTCGCACTGAATGCTGCATAGGGATCGCGGTATTCCTACGCCATTTCTGTGCGCGTAGGTGACGCAAGCGGTGATAACCTACAATAGGTGACAGAAAACCTTGGGGGCCAGGCAGTATTTTGGCAGAAAATGTAGGGAGCACTAAGAGAGAGAGGCGAAGAGGCGAGAGAAGAGAGAAAAGCGGAGAGAGGGAAGAGAGAGCAGAGGAGAGAGAGAGAGAAGAGAGCGCAGAGAAGAGAGAAGAAGAGAG